CTTCGGTAACTCGACTGGTTATCACAAGAGAGTGTCCTTGGAATCATGTGGAGTAGATATGTTTGGGGAGAACTCACTAATTATGGAGATACAAAAAATGCTGAACAACAACAAGCATACTCTCCTGATTTTGTGATGAAACAATGTATTCTGACTTCCTACACTGTTGTGGGTTTAGAAAACCACAGCAGTTTGAAACTTTAGAAAAAAAAATACAAAACAACTTGAGCTCCTAAGCTTTCCGTTTTGATTGTTTCGTTCAAAAAATGCAGCTTGAAAAGATAGCCCAGCCCAAGCCAACAGCACAGAGCTCAGTCGTTCCTACTTAGGAGTTGCGAAAGGAAAATTGCAACAGGATTTTACAAGCAAGACAAATAATGTTGCAAATTGTTCAATGTACTGTTGAAGGCTTCCATGGCTGGAATCACTGGGTTGTTGTAAGTTTGCTGGGCTGTCTGGCCATGTTTCAGAAGCATTCTCTCCTGACGTTTCGCCTGCATCTATGACAGGCATCCGCAGAGGTTGTGAGGTCTGTTGGAAACTAGGCAAGTGAGGTTTATATATCTGTGGAAAAATGTCCAGGGTGGGAGAAAGAACTACTTCAACCGGAGAAGTCAGCCATAGAAGAGCACTTGATGAACCAACCTGGACACAGCATATTATTGAAGAACACAGAAATGCTGGACCACTCGAACAACTACTATGTCAGACTACTGACTACTATGTCAGACAGAACTGGGAAGCCTTGGCCCTTGACGCTCCAGCTGGAGGTCAGCTGTGACCAGCAGTGCTGCAGAATTTGAAGAGGCACGAATGGAGGGCGAAAGAGAAATGTGCCAAGCTAACCCTGACTGGGACTGCTTTCCACCTGGAAACCAATGCCCTCACTGCAGGAGAAGATGCAGATCAAGAATAGAGCTCCACAGTCACCTATGGACCCACCAGAACACTGATCCTGGAAGACTATCCTACTCAGCCAACGAAGGATCGCCTAAGTAAGTAAGTAAGCACTATGTCAGACTACACAGTGAAGCCACTGAAATCCACAAGCCTGTGGACAGTTTCAACAGAAAGGAGAAAACCATGAACAAAATCTGGCTACCATATTTTTAAAAAACTCTAAAATCATAACAGTAAATAAAGAACAACACTCAAAAATTGGGGAATTCCAGGCAAGAAACAATAGGGCCAGCTAATCACCCCCAACAAAGGCTTCCCCCAGGCAGTAAGAAGCTGCTAGGCCATTAAATGCTAATCAAGGTGGCCAATTGAACATTCACACTTAACTCAAACAGACCAGAGTTCTTTCTCCCACCCTGGACACTCCATAGATATGTATTGTCGAAGGCTTTCATGGTTGGAATCACTGGGTTGTTGTAGGATTTTTGGGCTATATGGCCATGTTCTAGAAGCATTCTCTCCTGACATTTCACCTGCATCTATGGCAAGCATTTTCAGAGGTTGAGAGCTCACAACCATTGAGGATGCTTACCATAGATGGAGGTGAAACGTCAGGAGAGAATGCTTCTAGAACATGGCCATATAGCCCCAAAAATCCTACAACAACCCGTTCCACAGATACATAAACCCAATTTTTCTAGTTTCCAACAGACCTCACAACCTCTGAGGGTGCCTGCCATAGTTACAGGCGAAACGTCAGGAGAGAATGCTTCTGGAACATGGCCAGACGGCCCGAAAAACTCACAACAACCCAATGTTGCAAACTGCTAACAACAGAATAAATAACGGCAGATGGGGATCACAAAGAGCCATCAGAACATCTTTGAGTCAACTTTTCCATATAGACCCCACAGCATTGATATGAGTGGCTCCCCCAAGTAGCTGCAGACAAGAGAATCCTGACATTCCAGCAACCCATGATGATACCAACTATGCTGATGAAGATGAGACTTTTCTTACATAACTTCCAAATAACTCCAACATGGGTTTTTCGAGACTTGAACAGCACCCCTCCAATAACTCCTTTACATGCCAGAGACCCCACAATTTCCAGGGAGACTTCTTGCAAGAACAGACTGCAATCCAGCCCAGCCAAAACCTCCAGTATTTCAACACAGCCTTATATCCCAGAATATCAAGGCATGAAATCCCACATTATTTGAATGTGGACTCAGATAACCCAGTTCAAAGCAGATATTGTGGGATTTTCCGCCTTGATTCTCCATCTTCATCGCTATGATACTTCACCTTGTTGATGGGAAGCTTCCCACCGGAGTGGAAATCATCTATCGGACAGATGGCAAGCTGTTTAACCTCAGCAGACCGAAAGCCAAAACCAAGGTTACAACAACAACATCTGTTATAGAACTCCAGTATGCTGATGACAATGTCATCTGTGCGCATTCAGAAGATCTACAAGCCACTCTAAACACCATCGCAGAAGCACACAAGAAGCTCAGCCTGTCATTGAACATCGAGAAAACCAAAGTGCTGTTCCAGTAGTCACCAACCAACCCCTTTCCAATGCCAGAGATACAGCTTAATGGTGTAACATTAGAAAATGTTGACCATTTCCGCTACCTTGGCAGCCACCTCTCCACCAAAGTCTACATTGACACTGAAATACAACACCGCCTGAGCTCTGCGAGTGCAGCATTTTTCCGAATGAAGCAGAGAGTGTTTAAGGACAAGGACATCCGTAGGGATACCAAGGTGCTTGTTTATAAAGCTATTGTCCTCCCAACCCTGCTATATGCCTGCGAGACATGGACAGTCTACAGATGTCACATGCAACTCCTGGAACGATTCCATCAGCGCTGCCTCCGGAAAATCCTGCAAATCTCTCGGGAAAACAGGTGGACAAATGTCAGCGTGCTGGAAGAAGCAAAGACCACCAGCATTGAAGTGATGGTCCTCTGCCATCAACTCTGCTGGACCGGCCATGTTGTCCGGATGCCCGACCACCGTCTCCCAAAGCAGTTGCTCTACTCCGAACTCAAGAACGGAAAACGGAATGTTGGAGGGCAGGAAAAGAGATTTAAAGATGGGCTTAAAGTTAACCTTAAAAACTGTGGCATAGACACTGAGAACTGGGAAGCCCTGGCCCTTGAGCGCTCCAGCTGGAAGTCAGCTGTGACCAGCAGTGCTGCAGAATTTGAAGAGGCACGAATGAAGGGCGAAAGAGAGAAACATGCCAAGAGGAAGGCGCGTCAAGCCAACCCCGACCGAGACCGCCTTCCACCTGGAAACCAATGCCCTCACTGCGGGAGAAGATACAGATCAAGAATAGGGCTCCACAGTCACCTACGGACCCACAAGAATACTGATCCTGGAAGACTATCCTACTCAGCCAACGAGGGATCGCCTAAGTAAGTAAGTACGTACTCTGGGATATAGTGCTGTGTGGAAGGGCCCACAGAAACAGCCTATAAGGACCTAAGTAGTTCAAACTGCAATGAACAATGTGACATTGCCTTTAAGTTGGACCACTTTATAAACAGGTTATCAACGAAGGACTTGGCTGAACTGTTGATGAACTTAGTACCCATCGAAGAGCCCTCTCATGCTAGGAGGCACCTGGAAGGAGGTCTTGTTGTCGATCTATTTGTGATGAATGAGGAAGAGATCACAGCCACATCTCCAATACAACTCTTAGAACCTAGGAGGGATAACAAAACACCCCCTCCACATAGACTGTCCTCTAATCCAAAAGTCCGAGCGCAAACCAAAGCCCTGGGTACTAATGTTGATCCAGGTTTGCTTGACAACTACATTTGTTATCCTGGAACATTATGGGGTGGCCAAATAAATTCCATGATGCAGACTTTGCAAGGAATTTGCAAAAATTTAGAATAATTTCCCTGCAAGAGATGTAGGCTGATGTGGTTTTTGATCATTCTCAGTTCCAGCTGTAAAAATAAGTTCTAAAGGTCGTGGCAGCGGTGGCCTCATTACACTTATTTCAGTGGAGCTGCAAGTCAACAGCCAACCCTTAGTACCAACCCTCAATGCGTACAGGCCCTTCTCATTAAGAGCATGCATTTCGGTGGTTTAATCTGTGTAAATGTTGATTTTCCACCTAGACTATCAAACACCAGAGGCCCTAATAATGTTTGGACTAGCCTATCGGAAACCTTTACCCTACTGGAAAATCAACACCACTCCACAAAGATCCTTCTGTATGGAGACTTCAATTGGGGCGAAATTGAAACAGGTGGAGGAGACAAATTTTGGACAAGATTGCCAAGTTAGATCTGTTGCTAAGGTTTCTCAAGACTCAGAGACAAATCAGGAGCTTTTAAGGGATTCTATCCCTCCATCATTTGCAGTGTCTTCACGGAACCCAGTTTGATAGAACACGGGGTGCCTATGTCACCAAGTGACATGGTTTGGGGAGGACTGACCCACGATTCTAGGAATTGTAGTTCACCGACATCGTCATGTATTTTTTAATGGGAGCATTCATGAAATCAGGCTATTTTTTTTTTAATAAATAGTATTACTAATTAAATTATCTAACACCCCAAAACAATGCCTTCTTCAAATTACCCAGGCACTGCCGGATACCCAAGCTATTTATTAATAATATTATATAATAATATATAATAATTAATAATATTATAATTATCAGGAAGGAAGTGGAGGATATTATTATTATTATTATTATTAGGAAAAAAGTGAAGGAGAGAAATTCTCCTTATATTATATTATTATTAGGAAGGAAGTGGATATTATTATATTATTAATATTATCAGGAAGTGAAAAATATTATATTATATTATCAGAAGGAATCGGAAGATATTGCTATTGTTATTATTATTAGGAAGGAAGTGGATATTATATTATTATATTATTTATATTATTAGGAAGGAAGTGAAGGTGGAATATTATTTTATATTATTATTAAAAGGAAGGAAAGTATAACAACATTAATAACAATGATTGTTATTATTATCATAATTGAAAGAAATGAAGGTGTTCAGAAAAAAAAGATGAATACAATTATTTATTGTTATTATTATTATTATTTTCCTGTTTACCTTTTGTAGACGTAACCCATAACGATGCCGACCCCGATGGCGATGATGATCACAACCATAATGACCCCCAAAACATAGCCTGAAAAAGGGGGGAAATTATTATTAGTAGAAATAAATAATAATAATAATAATAATAATAATAAATAAACAACTAAAATATGCAATGAAATACAGATAATAATAAAATAATGGAGCCCCTGGTAGCGCAGTGGGTTAAACCCTTGTGCTGGCAGGACTAAAGACCGACATGTCGGAGGTTTGAATCCAGGGACAGTGTGGATGAGCTCCTTCTGTCTGTTAGCTCCAGCTTCCCATAACAGTAATAAATATAAAATAATAGGAATAGGAATATAATAGGAATAATAGGAATAGGAATATAATAGGAATAATAGGAATAATAGGAATATAATAAATATAATAAACAACATTGAATAAATATATTGAAGATTATAATGTATATAAATAAAAATGTAATGTTAATTTGTGGAATTAACATACCTCAAAAACCACTGGACGAATTGACTCCAAATTCGGACACAATAGACCTATCAAGCCAACGAGTGATCATCACTCATAAAAACACTGAAAAATGCAGTGGAAGTGACTTTAAAAGCCCCCAAAAAGCAAAAAGACGCTACAGTGCATGCGCACGATGACTCCCCCTGGCAAACAAAACACACAATAGCATACCAGCACTCTCTTCCAGGCTACAGCTCCCAGTATCCCTTTGACCAGGCCCTTTAGGGGAGAAGGATACTCCAAATGCACTACTTCCAAGCTGCTAACTTGCTTCTCCTTGGATTTCTTTGAGAGCATCCCAATCCGTATATATTTCCTATTCCTGGACTGCAACTCCCAGCAATCCTCCAGATAGATAAGACTGATAGATTACATAGAGATAGATAGTAGGTAGATAGTTCAATCAGGAGGACTGCTGGGAGTTACAGTCCAAGAATAGGTATAGAAGGAAGAAAGGAGAGAGAAAAAAGGGAGGGGAAGGAAGGAAGGAAGGAAGGAAGGAAGGAAGGAAGGAAGGAAGGAAGGAAGGAAGGAAGGAAGGAAGGYAAGAGGGAGGGCYGGAAGGAGAGAAAGAGAGAGGGAAGGTTGGCCACAGCAACACGTGGCAGTAATATATATAACTAGCAGTCCCCTGCCACACATTGCTGTGGCCCAGTCTATGTATGTTTTGTGTGTGTATATATGTGTGTATGTGTATATATTTGTGTATATGTGTATATATGTGGTTTTGKGCATGCGTTGTAAAAAAAATTGCCTTGAAAGTATCTTCCGCTGTGTTTTCCAGTGTTTTTATGAGTGATGGTCACTTGTTGGCCTGATAGGTGTATTGTGTCAATTCGTCCAATGGTTTTTGAGTTACGTTAAACCCACAAATGAACATTACATTTTTATTTATATAGACTAGCTGTACCTGCCACGCGTTGCTGTGGCCAACCTTCGCTCCCTCTTTCTCTCCTTTCTTTCTRTCCTTCATTCCCTCCCTCTTTCCTTCCTTCCCTTTTTTTCTTTCCTTTCTTCTTCCTTCCTTCTCTACCTGTTTCTTTTCTCGCTTCCTTTGCTCTTTGGTTCTATCCTTCCTTGTCTCTTTCCTTCCTTCCTTCTCTCCCTCTTTCTCTCTTTTATTCCTTCTCTCCTTCCTTCCCTTTCACMTTTTATTTCCTTCTCTCCTTCCTTCCCTCCCTCTTTCTCCCTCCCTCTTTCTTTCCTTCTTTCCCTCTTTCTCCCACCTCTCCTTCCTTCCTTCCCCCGTTCTGTGTACGTGTTTTGTGTGTGCATATATGTGTGTATACATTTCTGTATATATTTGTGTATATTTGAAGACTGTTCGGAAGCTTCAAATGGTCCAATAGGCGGCAGCCAGGTTGTTAACAGGAGCAGCACTCAGGGAGCACACAACTCCTCTGTTGTGTCAGCTCCAATGGCTGCCAGTTTGCTACCGAGCACAATTCAAAGTGCTAGCTTTAGCCTATGAAGCCCTAAATGGTTCTGGCCCAGCTTATCTGTCTGAACATTATCTTTCCTTATGAACCATCTAGGAATCTAAGATCTTCTGGGGAGGCCCTGCTCTCAGTCCCGCCTTCTTCAGAGATTTGGTTGGCGGGGACGAGAGAGAGGGCCTTCTCAGCGGTGGCCCCTCAGCTGTGGAACGCTCTCCCTAGGGACATTCGATTGGCCCCCACTCTCTTAACATTTCCCAAAAAGTCAAAACCTGGCTTTTTGAGCAGGCTTTCTCAAATGCAGTGTACCGGACAAACCCTGATCTCGGAACGACTGGACAATGCAATTGGATAATGATTTTGGTAATGAGACGTAGAGGCTCTATGTTTTTATGGGTTTTATCATTTACTGAATTTTATTATGTTAAATGTTTTAACTGTTTTTATGTTATTGTGGGCGTCAAATTGTGCCGTCTTGTAAACTGCCCTGAGTCGCCCTCGGGCTGAGAACGGCGGTACATAAATATAGTAAATAAATAAATAAAAGTTTGTGTATATATGTGTGTTTGTGCACATATGTGGTTTTGCGCATGCGTTGGAATGTATTTTTTTTGTTTTTTGGCTTTTAAGTCTCTTCTGCTGTAGTTTTCAATGTTTTTATGAGTGATGGTCACTCGTTGGCCTGACAGATGTCTTGTGTCCAAATTTGGTGTCAATTTGCCCAGTGGTTTTTGTGTTATGTTAATTACATTACATTTTTATTTATATACTAGCTGTCCCCTGCCACGCGTTGCTGTGGCCCAGTCTGTTGATCTGGAAAATAAAGTAATGAAAAAGTGTTGGTTTCTAATATATGTAATTTCTTTATGCTTGTGGTAAACAGTATTTCTTGCTGTTTCTTTGCCGGTGTTGATGTGGAGAGTGTCTGGTTTGACCACACTGGAACATGCCACATATCATTGTCCTTCTTTAAGGGTCCCTTTCAAATCTATGATACTATATCTGTGTGTATGTGAATCATATCATTAGGTCATCGTCATCCCTCCTCACCTTTAGAAAAAAGGTTAAAACGTGGCTGTGGGACCAGGCCTTCAGGCAATCAGGTTAAAGGACAATTGATAATGTTTGACTATGGCATGGAAGAGGATTTGGATAAGTTAAGCGGAGTAATCATTAGTAGATGGCTAGCTAAACAGCCACCAGATGGGCAATAGCTAATCAGAGTGTAAGTATACTGTTTTAATCTTTATTTATTAATGTTCATGTTTAATTGTTATATTTGTTATTCTGTGTTTTATAATGCGGCACTGAATTATTGCCAATTGTAAGCCGCCCTGAGTCCCCCCAGGGGTTGAGAAGGGTGGGGTAAAAATGTTCGAAATAAATAAATAAATAAAATATCTATCTATATCTATGGCTGGATGGCTCTTTGTCAGGAGGGCTTTGATTACGTTTTCTTGCCCTGGTGAAAAGAGTTGGACTGGATGGCCTTAAGTATTTTCTGTTGGTCATGGGGGTTCTGTGTGGGAAGTTTGCTCCAATTCTGTTGTTTGTGGGGTTCAGAATGCTCTTTGATTGTAGGTGAACTGTGAATCCCAGTGACTATAACTCCCAAATGTCAAGGTCTATTTTCCATCTATGTTCATATTTGGGCATATGGAATATTTGTGCCAAGTGTGGTCCAGATCCATCATTGGATGGACCCTCCCAAAAGATCTTAGACAGGCCCCTACATTGGCAGTCTTTAGAAAGAACTTGAAGACTTGGCTGTTCCGATGTGCCTTTCCAGAATAGGAAATCTCCATTAACAAATCCTCGAAGCACTTTAGTAGAACTAAGATGATTGCACACCGCACACTGCACTTGCCCTATAATCCTCGTATACCTCCTGCCACTTCAGCACTTTTAATCTTGTACCCACTACTCTGGCCCGGCCCAGTTTTATTGTGTTTTGATATGTTGTTCATTGCATGTCGTTAATATTGCTTTAACTGTTTTTAATTTTGCTTTTGGTGTTATATTGTTTATGTTGTGTTTTGTGGCCTTGGCCTTTGTAAGCCGCATCGAGTCCTTCGGGAGATGCTAGCGGGGTACAAATAAAGTTAATAAAAATAATAATAATATTGTTTGAGTCCACAGTGCTCTCTGGATGTAGGTGAACTACAACTCCCAACTCAAGGTCAATGCCCACCAAACCTTTCTAGTGTCTTCTGTTGGTCATGTGTCCAGTGTGCCAAGTTTGGTTCAATTCCATCATTGGTGGAGTTCAGAATGCTTCTTCATGGTAGGTGAACTATAAATCCCAGCAACTACAACTCCCAAATGACAAACTCAATTTTTGAGTGATGGTCACTCCTTGGGTTAGTAGGTGTCTTGTGTCCAAATTTGGTGACAATTCGCCCAGTGGTTTTTGAGTTATGTTAATCCCAAAACGAACATTACATTTTTATTTATATAGATACATATAATGAATATAATGGGGGAGGGGAGGTGGGCTTCCTGTTGGCTCACCGATGACACCGAGGTCCTTCTTCTGCATCTTCCTATCGGCCATCTTGCCACCCCCGGGGCCCCTCCCCACGACCGGCTCCACGGCGGCCGCTTCGCTCCGGGAAGGCGGGAGGCTCTCCAGGGCCGGGCCAAAGGCCTCTGGCGACTCTGAGGGGGAGGGCACCTTCACCCCTGTGGCCGTGGACGACTCTACACAACAACAATAAAAACAACAACAACAATGTAAGGCAGTGTTTCTCAACCTGGGGTCGGGACCCCTGGAGGGGTTGCCAGGAGGTGCCAGAGGGGTCACCAAAGACCATCAGAAAACACAGTATTTTCTATTGGTTATGGGGGTTCTGTGTGGGAAGTTTGGCCCAATTCTATCATTTGTGGGGTTCAGAATGCTTTTTGATTGAAGGTGAACTATAAATCCCAGCAACTACAACTCCCAAATTTCAAGGCCTATTATCCCCAAACTCCACCAGTGTTCACATTTAGCATACTGAGTATTCGTGCCAAGTTTGGTCCAGATATATTGCTCTCTGTAGGTGAACTACAACTCCCAAACTCAAGGTCAATGCCCACCAAACCCTTCCAGTGTTTTCTGTGGGTCGTGGGCATTCTGTGTGCCAAGTTTGGTTCAATTCCATTGTTGGTGGAGTTCAGAATACTCTTTGATTGTAGGTGAACCATAAATCCCAACAACTACAACTCCCAAATTATGTTTCATAACAGGAGCAACATTATAGTTGTTGTTCATTCGTTCAGTCATTTCCGACTCTTCGTGACCTCATGGACCAGTCCACGCCAGAGCTCCCTGTTGGCCGTCACCACCCCCAGCTCCTTCAAGGTCAGTCCAGTCACTTCAAGGATGCCATCCATCCATCTTGTCCTTGGTCGGCCCCTCTTCCTTTTGCCTTCCACTTTCCCCAGCATAATTGTCTTCTCTAGGCTTTGCTGTCTCCTCATGATGTGGCCAAAGTACTTCAACTTTGTCTCTAGTATCCTTCCCTCCAATGAGCAGTCGGGCTTTATTTCCTGGAGGATGGACTGGTTGGATTTTCTCGCAGTCCAAGGCACTCTCAGAACTTTCCTCCAGCACCACAGCTCAAAAGCATCTATCTTCCTTCGCTCAGCCTTCCCTAAGGTCCAGCTCTCACATCCGTAGGTTACTACAGGGAATACCATGGCTTTGACTAGGCGGATCTTTGTTGCCAGTGTGATGTCTCTACTCTTTACTATTTTATCGAGATTGGACATTGCTCTCCTCCCAAGAAGTAAGCGTCTTCTGATTTCCTGGCCACAGTCTGCATCTGCAGTAATCTTTGCACCTAGAAATACAAAGTCTGTCACGGCCTCCACATTTTCTCCCTCTATTTTCCAGTTGTCAATCATTCTTGTTGCCATAATCTTGGGTTTTTTTATGTTTAGCTGCAACCCGGCTTTTGCGCTTTCTTCTTTCACCTTGATTAGAAGGCTCCTCAGCTCCTCCTCGCTTTCGGCCATCAGAGTGGTGTCATCTGCATATCTGAGGTTGTTAATGTTTCTTCCAGCAATTTTCACCCCAGCTTTGCATTCATGCAGCCCCGCACATCGCATGATGTGTTCTGCATACAAGTTAAAAAGGTTGGGTGAGAGTATGCAGCCTTGCCGTACGCCTTTCCCAATCTTGAACCAGTCTGTTGTTCCGTGGTCAGTTCTTACTGTTGCTACTTGTCCTTGTACAGATTCCTCAGGAGAGAGACAAGGTGGCTTGGTATGCCCATCCCACCAAGGACTTGCCACAGTTTATTATGATCCACACAGTCAAAGGCTTTAGAGTAGTCAATAAAACAGAAATAGATGTTTTTCTGAAACTCCCTGCCTTTCTCCATTATCCAGTGGATATTGACAATTTGGTCTCTCGTTCCTCTGCCTTTTCTAAACAACATTATAGTTATGAAGTAGCAAAAGAATGTTATGGTTGGGGACCCGGCATTGCCCGGGTTATTAGAGAAAGTGGGTAATGGCGGTTCTGTATGCCAAGTTTGGTCTTTATTGGTCTTTGGATAACGGCTGCATTATTTTCAGGAAGTGAGTGAAGGTACTTGAAGTCCCATCATCCATGGCCCATCCTCCTACAAACAGCAGCAGGATATAGAGTGGGTCATGGGGGCTCTGTGTGCCAAGTTTGGTCTTTATCAGTCATTAGATGAGAGTGGCAGTGGTGTCAGTAAGTGAGTGAAGGTACTGCAAGTCCCATCATCCAAAGTCCATCCCCTTTCAAACTGCAGCAGGATGTAGAGTGGATCATGGGGGCTCTGTGTGCCAAGTGTGGTCTTGATTGGTCATTAGAAGAGGGTTGCAGGAATCTTCGGAAGGGAGTGGAGGTACTTGTAGTCCCATCATCCATGGTCTGTCCTCCTCCAAACTGCACCAGGATGTAGAGTGGGTCATTGGAGCTCCATGTGCCAAGTGTAGTCTTGATTAGTCATTGGCGAGGGTCTCAGTGGTCTCAGGAAGTGAGCAAAGGTACTGCAAGTCCCATCATCCATCTCCAAAGTTTTCCAAACAACACCAGGACGTAAAGTGGGTCATGAGAGGTCTATGTGGCAAGTTTGGTCTTGATCCGTCATTGGATGAGGTTTGCAGAGGTGAGGAACTATCTTAAGGGGTGGTGACATTAGGAAGGTGGAGAAACACTGACATAACGAATGTGGTACTGAGAGTGAGGCTGTCCAGGGCAAGAGCAGATGGGCGTGACTTCATCGGAGACAGGTGGGCAGCCAGCCAATCGGGAGCGAGGGGGCGTGGCTTGTCCCCAATCCTCGCGCCCCTCAGCGGAGCATGCGCCGTCGGGGCCTGCAAGAGGCCTAACCTGAGGCAAGACAGGCCCGCTGGACGCTTACCTTCCTCGGCAGCCGAGCTGAGCGCGAGCAGCCACAACGCCAACACCGCCTCCGCTGGAAACATGGCCGACGCCGCTGCCTTCCGACCTTCCTTCCTTCCCACACGCGGCAGTTGTTGTTTTCCTCCTCAGGACCAAGCCCCGCCCATGGTGACGTAGCCACGCAGGACACGCCCCCGCTGCTGTAGCCACGCAGGGCACGCTGCCTCTGAAACTTGAGAAGTCCAAGCCCCTGTTGTTTGTGCCCAAGCCCCGCCCCGCAATGACGTAGTCGGCCACGCCTCCTCCCAAGCGTTCCTGTTGATGATTGGCCCCTCACGCCCAAGCACCGCCCACAGCGACTAGCTCTTCCATAACTAAGACTATTTCGTTTTTAATCATATTTAATAATAATAATAAATATTGGAATATATCTATATAAATAAAAATGTAATGTTCGTTTGTGATATCATCAGAACTCAAAAACCACTGGGAGAATTGACACCAAAGTTGGACACAAGGCACCTAACAGTCCAATGTATGTCCTTCACTCAAAAAAATTGATTTTGTCATTTGGGAGTTGTAGTTGCTGGGATTTATAGTTTACCTACAATCAAAGAGCATTCTGAACCCCACCAACGATGGACTCGAACCAAACTTGGCACACAGTTCTCCCATAACCAACAGAAAATACTGGAAGCGTTTGGTGGGCAGTGTCCTTTGGTTTTGGAGTTGTAGTTCACCTACATCCAGAGAGCACTGTGCACTCAAACAATGATGGATCTGGACCAAACTCTACAAACATACTCAATATGCCCAAATGTGAACACTGATAGAGATGGGGGAAAACAGAATCTTGACATTCGGGAGTTGTAGTTGCTGAGATTTGTAGTTCACCTACAATCACAGAGCATTCTGAATTCCACCAATGATGGAATTGGGCCAAACTTAGCACACAGGGCTCCCATGACCAACAGAAAAAACTGGAAGGGTTCGGTGGACATTAACCTTGAGTTTGGGAATTGTAGTTCACCTACATCCAGAGAGCACTGTGGACTCAAACAATGATGGATCTCGACTAAACTTGGCACGGATATTCCATATGCCCAAATATGAACACAGATGGAGTTTAAGGGAAATAGACCTTGACATTTGGGATTTGTACTTACTGGGATTTATAGTTCACCTACAATCAAAGAGCATTTTGAACTCCACCAATGATGGAATTGAACCAAACATGGCATACAGGACTTCCATGACCAACAGAACACACTGGAAGGGTTTGGTGGGCATTGACCTTGAGTTTGGGAGTTGTAGTTCACCTATATCCAGAGATCACTGTGGACTTAAACAATGATGGATCGGGACCAATCTTGGCACGAATACCCAGTATGCCCAAATATGAACACAGATGGAGTTTGGAGGAAATAGACCTTGACATTTGGGAGTTGTTGTTACTGGGATTTATAGTTCACTACAATTAAAGAGCATCCTGAAACCCAGAAACGACAGAAATGGGGCAAATTTCCACACAGAACCCCCATGACCAACAGAAAATACTGAAGGCCATCCAGTCCAACTCTCTTCACCAGGACAAGAAAATCTAATCAAAGCCCTCCTGACAAAGAGCCATCCAGCCATAAATATAGATAGATATGATTCTCTCTCACACACACAGATATAGTATCATAGATTTGAAAGAGACCCTTAAAGAAGGACTATGATATGTTGCATATTCCAGAGTAGGCAAACCAGACACTCTCCACATCAACACTGACAAAGAAACAACAAGAAATACTGTTTACCCACAAGCATAAAGGAATTACATATATTAGAAACCAACACTTTCTCATTACTTTATTTTCCAGATCACCAGACTGGGCCACAGCAACGTGTGGCAGGGGACAGCTAGTCTATATATATATATATATATATATATATATATATATATATATATAATATATTGGAATATGATTATAATAATAACAAAATTAAATATAAATTTAGCAATAATAAAATTTAAATATATTAAATAAAAATTCCATCTAATCTTATTATAGATATATAATCTATAATATAAATTAAACACAATATAATAATAATTATTTCATTCATTATTTCATGTATCTAATAATTAATTCAATGAAATGTTGGGGACATTTAGTCTTAGGGACATTTATTCGGATATTAATAATTATATTAGTAGGTAAAGGTAAAGGTTTTCCCCTGACATTTAAGTCCAGGAGTTGGTGCTTATCTCCATTTCTAAGCCAAAGAGCCGGCGTTGTCCATAAACACCTCAAAGGTCATATGGCCAGCATGACTGCATGGAGCGCCATTACCTTCCCGTTGGAACAGTGCCTGTTGACCTACTCACATTTGCTAGGTTGGCAGAACCTCGGGCTAACAGCGAGAGCCTCAGCTTATTATATTAATAATATTAATTATTATTAATTAATCAATTTATATTAGTATTATTATATCAATAATACTAAATATTTAGTATTATTAATATAATTAATAATTATATTAATAATACTAAATATAACAATAAATGTTAATAATAATTTTAAAAATTAAATTAACTTCGATAACAAAATTTAAATCTAACCATAATATTAAATGAAATTTAAATGCCATCTGAATAATAATAATAATATTACTAATCATTTTTTCCATGTTAGGAGCGACTTGAGAAACCGCAAGTTGCTTCTGTTGTGAGAGAATTGGCTGTCTGCAAGGACGTTGCCCAGGGAACGCCTGGAAGTTTTTCTTGATGTTTTACCATCCTTGTGGGAGGTTTCTCTCATGTCCTGACAGTCACAACGTCGAGTTGGCGACATGCGAGTGCGGAGAAGAGCAAACCACAAACCTCTGGATTGAAAGCTCCGAGTTGTCGGTCTTTTTTTTTTTTTAATTTATTTATTAGAATTTTCCGACACAAATATAATACCATCACATCCGCTCATTGTTAGAAATTCAGTTACTAAATTACATTCTGGAAACATATCACATACCATATAACACATATCACATTATAATTACCTAGTGCTCTTATCTGTCTCCCCTTCACCTTACCCTTGTGTCTTACGATTTTACACCCCTCCTCCCCCCTCCCCCACCCTTCAGGGAACAGTAAATACCTTTATTCAGAACTTAATTTAAGTGAACAATTGTATAGAGAGAATGGTTTAGCACCTTGTATCTTTCATTTCCTTCCACTTTTTCTATCAGTCTTTCCCATTTCTGCATCCAAGTTTTCTTAAGTCGGCTTGTTGAGTATTTGCTTCTTTTTTCGTAGATGTACTCGTGGAGCATATATTCTGCTAAATACTCATACCATTTTTTAACCTCCCATTTTCTATAATCTTTCCACCCCAACGCTACAGTTGCTTGGGCAGCTAATATCATGTATTTTATAATTTCCTCCCAATCTTTGCAATTATCTTTTTTGTCTAATTTCTTTGTAAAAAGTTCTATTTTATTCAAGGCCAGTTTATAACCTATTATTTCTTCCATTTCATTCATTACCTTTCTATAGAACTCTTGCACTCTATCACATTCCCACCACATGTGGGAATAAGAGCCAATTTTCCCACATCCATGCCAACAAAGTTTTGTGGTGTTTTTTGTCATCTGGGCTATTTTAATTGGGGTTCTGTACCATCTAGTCAATAATTTCCTTTGCGTTTCTCTGATCTTTATATGCTTAAGACTTTTAATTGAGTCAATCCAATTTTCTATTTCTAAAACTTTATTATTTAAATCTTCTTTCCATATTTCTATCAAGGCTTGTTTCAAGTTATATTGTATTCCAATTAATTTCTTATAAATAAACCCCATCAGCCCTTTCTCCTTTTCTATTTTCCATTTTAGGATTTGGTCTAGGGCTGTTTCAGGGCCTTCTTTTTTCTTCTCTTTAATGATCCTTTGTTTTAATCCATTCCAAAGAAGCCAATTACCTTGACCGCATTTACCCTTTATTGTCTCCCAATCCTTAATTGTCCCATCTGAGTTCAAGAGGTCTTTTATCAGATTCATTCCATTCTGTTTCAACTTTGTTATAACCTTACCAAATGTCTATTCTTTTCTATTGTCTAGAAACCCTATTGGGAGTATATCTACCCTATTAATTTGTAGTTTGTTTTGCCATTTTTTCCAACATTCCAAAGATGAGATCAATGGTCCCCCTTTAGTTTCTGTTAAGATTTTTTTATCAACCCGTCCTTTTAAACATAAACAGTAGTTCCATCCATTTATTGCTTTTTCAATTCTAGCCCATCTTCTTGAATCATCAAAATCTAGTTCTATCAGTCTTATTAATTGGCAGGCGTCGAAATAATTCTGTAAATTAGGGGCACCCCATCCTCCATTCTCTTCTAAGGAATAAAATACTGATTTGGGAATACGATTTTTATTTGTTCCTTCTATCCAATTTTTAATCGAAGAATCCCATTTTTGAATAATTTTGATGGGGATACTACATGGGAGTGCTTGGAACAGGAATAAAAATTTGGGGAGAATCACCATTTTAACCATTTTAATTTTGCTTGATATATCCCAATTTTGTTTTTTCCAACTACCCATCTGTTTGTTTATTTTTTTCCATAAGCTATTATAATTAGATTGGATTATATTGTTAAGGTTTTTGTCGTAGATGGAAAAAGGCCTGTTTGCTGGCAGCAGCGACCTGAGCTTCCATTGTCAGCTGTGAATCCAGGATGACACCTAAGCTCTTAACAGTGGTCGATGGAGATAGGGCGGCACCATCGAAGGTGGGTAATGGAGGAGTCAGACCTGCCGGGAGGCCATGCCAGAGAATCTCAGTCTTCGCCGGGTTCACCTTCAGTCTGCTAGCACGTAGCCAGTTTGACAGAGCTTCCAGACATAGGATGAAATTGTCTGGAATTGACGTTGCTCCAGGCTCCAGGTGCAGAAGGAGTTGGGTACCGTCTGCATATTGGTAGCAGTCCAGGCCGAAACTCCGAGCCAAACTAGCAAGGGGTATAAGAAGTACTGTTTGACTATCAAGCAAAAAGTGGGCGCTAGAAATAATGTCAAACAAAAGCTGACTGGCACAACCTGGGGATCACAACCAGACACAGTGAAGACATCTGCCCTGGCACTTGGCTACTCTGCTGCATACGCATGCCCAGTGTGGAAGACATCTCACCATGTTAAAACAGTGAATGTGGCTCTTAATGAGACACACTGCATTATCACGGGGTGTCTGCGCCCTACACCACTGGAGAAATTGTACTGTTTAGCCGGTATTGCACCACCTGACATCTGCCGGGAACTAGCAGCTAACAATGACAGAGCCGAGGCAGTGACATCCCCGACCCATTCTCTGTTTGGATATCAGCCAGCATGCCAATGCCTTAAATCAAGAAACAGCTTCCTAAGATCTACAGAAATACTCACAGGAACACCTCAGCAAGCTAGAGTCCAAAAGTGGCAGGCTAAAACCCAGCGCCTCAATGGCTGATACTGGATGAAGACTGGGCACACAGAATAGGCTGCGCTCTGGCATCACGATATGCAGAGCCAACCTTAAGAAATGGAGCCACAAAGTGGGGAGAAGAGCAAACCACAGACCACTTACTACAATGCAACCTGAGCCCTGCCACATGCACAATGGAGGACCTCTTATAGCAACACTAGAGGCAGTCCAAGTGGCCAGCTACTGGTCAAAGGAAATCTAGCATAATGCCAAGTTTTTAAACTTTGTATGTTTTTTGTTCACTCCTGATACAATAAATAAATAACATAAATATTAACGGAATAAATAATAATGAAATAAAAATATATAAATGAATAAATGATAATACAATAAAACATAAATTAAACAAATAAAAATATATAATAATTGAAAATAATATTAAATTAACTTTAATAAGAAAATTGAAATACAATTATAATAATATTAAATAAAATGTAATGGCCACTGAAACTGAAATAATAATTTCAAATGTTATTACATTACCTTTACTAATAACAAGGGATGAATAATAATCAAATAAAAATATATATATTATTTTAAAATTAAAACATAATAGTAATAATGTTAAAGGTATAGTAAGAATCAAAGAAAATATATTATTTTTTAAAAAAATTAAAAGACCACAGAAAGCAGTACAAAAGTAATACTCTATAAACGCCTTTAATTGAAAACTCCGAAAACCATTTTTATATATATATACATTTTTGTCAAGAAATAAACGAAAACAAAAAACCTTAACAAATAACCAGAAATATATTCCAACTCGAGTGCGTTTTAATATATATATATATATATAATATAAAAGAAATATTTAATCATTTGCTTCTATTAAATCCCATTAAAAAGAAAGAAAAACAATCAACTATTTATTAATTATTATACATCTAAGAATCAAATTCTTTTCAGTAGCAAATCATTACTATTAGAAAAGAGGCGCTAAGAAAGAAAAAAACCATAAAATATAATAGCAATAATTCATAGAAGTTAATTAATATTAATTACTATTAATTAATATCAATTAATTGATATATTAATTGATATTAATTAGTATTAATTAATATCATTTAATTAATAAGAAGGAATATTTCCTCATTAATTAGCGACTGAAATTCAGGTATATAAAATCAATGTTAATTTTCATTTGTTCATTTAGTCCTTCTGTTTTTGAAATTGAAGATATATATATATATATATATATATATATATATATATATATATATATATGAATGGCCAATTTAAATTTGTTAAATAATCCCAAAATGAACATTATTTCATTCTTTTATTACTATTATTTAATTTCGTTTCCTTTTTTCTATTCCTTCCATTCTATTACTATTGTTCTATTATTTCAGTATTTTTTCCTCGCCTGTCAATCAAACTGATTCTACCCTCAAAGGGTAGAGGCAACAAAGGGGCGGGGCCTAAAGTGTGTGTGTTTGTGTGCGTGTATATGTATTCACCAATTTTTTTGTGTGTAATAACAATACTATTTTGTGATTATTTTTACTCTTCCCTGAACATATGTATTTATTAAGAACAATAATAATAATTCCATGAAATAACATCACGGAATAATAATAATAATAATAATAATAATTTTGGGGATTATTTTCTTGTGTCCACTCTGCCCTGTATTTATTATTATTATTATTATTATTATTACTACTGTTTTGAAGGAATTATTTTTTAAATTATTATTATTATTATTATTGTGTATTTTTGGGATTGTTTCCTTGTGTTCACTCTGCCCTGTACAAATGTATTTATTTATAGTAATAATAATAATTCCATGAAATAAAGTTAGGGAATAATAATAATAATAATAATTGGGGGGATTATTTCCTTGCTCTGTCTTGAACATATTCTTCTTCTTCTTTTTCTTCTTCTTATTATGCATTTTTGGGATCATTTCCTTGTCTCCGCCTTGCCCTGAACATATTAATTGATTATTATTATTATTATTATTATTATTATTATTATTATTATTATTATTATTTTAATGCATTTTTGGGATCATTTCCTTGCTTCTGCTCTGCCCTGAAGGTTGGTATTATCATTCCCAGAATAGAAAATTGTTTATTTATTAATACTAAAAAAAATAGGAAGACGAGGGTCACTTCCTGTCTGGGACAAGAGGCGGGGCCTGCTGCAAGGGGTCGGCTTCCGGGTCGACGAGGGAGGAGGCGAAGGCGGACTGGACGATCTGGAAGCCAAAGGACTCGAGGAGGGACATGTTCTGCTGCGGGGAGAATGGCGATGCCCCCAGGTCAGCCAGGGTCGCGACCCCTGACCCTGGTGGCCGAGGGGGGTGAGCCTTGGCCAGGTGCTTCCCCAGGAATGCCTTCGAGCGGAAGACACCTCCACATTCCGCACATGGGAAGCGCCGCTCGGTCACCTCCAGCGCTTCCGGATCGGGGGTCGCCTTCAGCTCATCCGGGAGGTCGCCGTAGGGGTCGGGGCCCTCAATCGGGTCCAAAGGGGAGCATTTCGGGCCTTGCAGGAGAGAAGGAGGAAGAGCACAACGTCATATAGGTAATATATAATCTATAGATTGTAATATATGTATTACTTCCTTAATTATATATATATATATATATATATATATATATATATATATATAATATTACATATATTATATATGTAATATAATATATATTATATATATAAGTAACATACAATATAGTATTCCATAATCAAATTACTTCACCCTGGCGGTGAAGTAATATATAATATTTCATCAATTAATACTGATATATAATAAAGTAACATATATATAATATAATGAAGTAGTATATAATATAAAATTTAATAAAGAAATACTGATATATATATGAATGTATAATAATAAAGATAATATATAATAGTTATATAATAAAGTAATACTGATATATATATATATGAGAATGTATAATACATAATGATAATATATAATTGTTATATAATAAAGTAATACTGATATATATATATATATGAATGTATAATAGTAATAATATATAATTGTTATATAATAAAATAATACTGATATATATATATATGAATGTATAATACATAATGATAATATGTAATTGTTATATAATAAAATAATACTGATATATATATATATATGAATGTATAATACATAATGATAATATGTAATTGTTATATAATAAAGTAATGCTGATATATATATATATATATATATATATATAATACATAATAATATATAATTGTTATATAATAAAGTAATACTTGGTATATAATCAAGTAATAGCTCCCTCCCTCCCTCCCTCTCTCTCTCTCTCTCTCTCTATATATATAATAAAAGTGAAAATATGTATGTGTGCATGTGGCAGGGGTGTCTACTTACACAGACAAGCTTCTACAAACAGCTATAGCTCCCACTACTCTGGAGACACCTACACTACGGCCCTCCCTCCACTGATATTGTAGGTTATAGTGAGCGCCGTAAACATGTCCAAGAGCCCTGCCAATGTCCTCCACAAACATCATACTGCCCACCACCCAAGTGAAGGCTTTCAGATAGGGACCATAGAGTTGATGTGTTTCCTCCACCACAGACATCCCACTGTTTCTGACTCTCTCCATTGCTGTGGAATTTGCATGATCCTGCCCACTGCCTCTCCTTTAACCCTTTCCTAGGAATTGATCAGCAACAGAACATACTAGAGAGGTTTGGGGAGAATTCACCATGATTTATAGGAGTTGTAGGTACTGGGATGTATAGTTCGCCGGCAATCTAAGAACACTGAACTCCACCAACGATGGATCTGGAACTCACTTGGCACACACAGAACCTCCATGACGAACAAAACATACTCGAGGCCTTTGGAGGGATTTAGAGGAGTTGTAGTTCAGCTACACCCAGAGTGCACTATGAACGCAAACAATGATGGATCTGGACATTTTGGAGTTGTAGGTACTGGGATTTATAGTTCAGCTGCAATCAATGAGCCCTCTGAACTCCACTGATGTTGGACGTGGACCAAACTTGGCACACAGAGCATCCATGACCAGCAAAAAATACTGGAGGTCTTCGGGGGAAATTCCTCTTGCTTTGGGGGAGTTGTAGTTCACCTACATCCAGAAAGCACTGTGTACCCAAACATCGATGGATCTGGACCAAACTTGGCACACATACCCGATATGCTGAAATTTGATAACTGGAGGGGAGGGGTTTGGGGGGAACTAACCTTCCTTTCTGGGAATTGTAGTTCACTCACAATCAGAGAAACAGTGATCTCTGCTGATGACAAACCTGGACCAAACTTGGCACACAGAACCCCCATGACTAACTCAACTTACTAGAGGGGTTCATAGTGCACTCTGGATGTAGGTGAACTACAACTCCTCTAAATCCCTCCAAAGGCCTCGAGTATGTTTTGTTCGTCATGGAGGTTCTGTGTGTGCCAAGTGACTTCCAGATCCATCGTTAGTGGAGTTCGGAGTGCCATAGTGGGAGTTGTAGTTTATCCTAAAGCCAGAGAGCACACTGAACCCCATCTAAGATGCATCTAGCAAATCTGCCCAACGTAAGAAACTTTAAGTACTGATGGAGCTTCTTGGGGTGAACCTGGTGTGATGTGAGTTGTAGTTCACATCACGTCGGGTTCACCCCAAGATGGGGAGATGGTAGCGGGGTATAAATAAAGTATCATTATATTATTGTCCACACCAACAGACAAAAACAAAAATTCCACAAACGCCAAAAGCAACAGCCGAAACCAGAACTGGATACATCACGGACCATCATCAACCTGACAGACAGACAACTCTCTGAAGACCAAGTATCCATACTAGCGAAAGGAGGAAACTTTGCTGTAACCGCCACCAGGATCCCAGTAGAAAACATCATTGCCAATGTTGAATCAGCAATTTATCGCCTCCCCGAGGAGGAAGCAGAAGAAGTACGAGCAGAAACAGCAAGGATCCTGAAAAAGGCAAAACTTCCCTCCAGTAACATTACTAGGAAGGAAAGACAAGCCATCAGAGAACTGAATTCAGATCCGGATATCCTCGTTATGCCAGCAGACAAGGGGAATGCCACAGTTATCATGCATACAGAACAATACAAGGAGAAGATCAGAAAACTCCTGGACCCTACTATATACAAAAAACTCAAGCAAGACCCAACTGCCAAAATAACCAAGAAAACCAACACCCTGATTAAGAACTCCTCCATAAACTTTGACATACGACAACAGCTATGTAAATCGGAAGCCCATCCACCCAGGCTTTATGGACTCCCAAAAATCCATAAGGACTCCACCCCACTCAGACCCATCGTGAGTGCCATTGGATCCCCCACGTACGACTTAGCAAAATTTCTTCCTGCACAGTTACAAAGCCATATTGGGCTCACTACAGACACTACATCAAGGACTCAGCCCACTTCATAGAAAAAATCAGCAATCTCAAGCTAAATACCAACGACAAACTGATCAGCTTCGATATGGTATCTCTATTTACCATGGTCCCGGTAGCAGACACCATGGCACTCATCAACCAGAGGTTCCCAGAAGACATCACGGCTCTGTTTCACCATTGCCTCACCACCAGTTACTTTCAGTGGGACAATGAATTCTACGAACAGAAAGATGGAGTAGCTATGGGGAGCCCTCTCAGCCCGGTCATAGCTAACTTCTACATGGAACACTTTGAAAAACAAGCCCTGGAGACAGCAACCAAAAAGCCCACGATATGGTTCAGATATGTGGATGACACCTTCACCATTTGGAGCCATGGAGAAGAAGAACTCAACAGGTTCCTGGACCATCTTAACAGCATCCACCCAAACATCCAGTTCACCATGGAAAAAGAAAATGAAGGAAGACTGCCCTTTCTAGATGTCCTAGTCATCCGCAAACCAGATCAACAATTGGGTCACACCGTCTACAGAAAGCCCACACACACAGATAGATATCTACATAAAAACTCCAACCATCACCCAAGTCAAAAAAGAAGCACCATTAAAGCCTTGGCAGACCGTGCAAAAAGAATCTGCGAACCCCACCTCCTCCAAGATGAACTGAACCACCTCAACTGGGCTCTCCAGGCCAATGGATACTCCACCTCAGACATCAGAAGAGCTGCAAGACCAAGAACAAGCCACGAGAGTAAAGGTGAAGATCCACCCAGAGGAAAAGTGTTTCTGCCATACATCAAGGGAACCACTGACCGCATAGGGAAGCTGATGAGGAAACACAACATACAAACAATCTACAAACCCACCAAGAAAATCCAACAAATGCTACGTTCAGCAAAGGACAAGAGGGATCCTCTCACCTCTGCAGGAGTCTACCGTATACCATGCAGCTGTGGACAAGTCTACATAGGGACCACCAAACGCAGCATTGCCCAACACACGGATCAAGGAACATGAAAGGCACTGCAGACTACTTCAACCAGAGAAGTCAGCCATAGCAGAGCACCTGATGAACCAGCCTGGACACAGCATATTATTTGAGAACACAGAGATGCTGGACCACACCAACAACCACCATGTCAGACTACACAGAGAAGCCATTGAAATCCACAAGCATGTGGACAATTTCAACAGAAAGGAAGAGACCATGAAAATGAACAAAATCTGGCTACCAGTATTAAAAAACTCTAAAATTATAACAGCTAAACAACAGAGAGGAAAAAACCAGGCACAGATTAACACCTCCCAGCAACAGATTTTCCCAGGCTCAGGCAGGACTTCAAATGCTAATGAAGGTGATCAGCTAAACATTTACACCTAACTGCAGCAGGGAAGAGCTCCTTGCCCCACCCCAGCCATTCCACAGATATATAAACCCATTTTTCCTACTTCCAACAGACCTCACTACCTCTGAGGATGCTTGCCATAGATGCAGGCGAAACGTCAGGAGAAATGCCTCTAGAACATGGCTCTATAGCCCGAAAAAACCCACAAGAACCTAATCATTATTATCATTATCATTATTATTATTATTATTATTATTATTATTATTATAGTTCACCCACAACCTTATGCATTTTGTACTGTCTCAAATAACTCGGACAACTCCGGGGACCTGAGCTAGTAATATCATATTTATTAATTGAATAATGCTTGTCCGGGTGAAGGACAATATAATATAATATTTCAAAAAGTAATATATAATATAATACAACTGACAGATGAAATATAATGACGTAATATGATAAAGTAATGCTATATAAAATGAAATAATATAATATTTAATAATTGAATGTTTGACCCCAGGGGAGGCGTGGGGAGTCAAAGATCAGGGGGTGGGGGCAGGGGGTGAAAGGTCAAAGATGTCGACTTGCCTTTGATGCCATAGGTCCTGGCGCTGTGGAGGCAGGCGGCTGGCCCCGCCCCATTCGGGAGGGGCTCCGGTTGCCGGGAGACCTGGGGAAGGGGAACATCGTGGTGGGTTTTAACATGGACCTTTAAGTAGGAGGCAGAGGAGAAACCTAGACAAGACAAAAGGAGGTCAGATCCTGCGCCCCGGAAGCACACCCCCCTCTCACTCTGCACTTCCTGCTCCTCCTCCTCCCCGATTTACGGGAAAAATGGGAAGGGGGTCCCCCCATTATCAATTATTATTATTATTATAAAATAAATAATATTACTATTATAATATAATATATAATAAAATAACACAAACAAATAATATAATATAATAAGTATAAGAAAATAATATAATAATATAAAATGAATAATAAAAATATTAAGTAATAATAATAAAAAAAAATAATAATAAAATGTATAACTTTATACAACTAGTAATAGGTTCTGGGCCCCAGACCTCAGGTAAGTCACGCTCTCTCAGCCTCCTCTTTAGAAATATATTTTATTATTGCATAATATTGCATTTTTATTATCATACACTACTGTATTATCTTAATATTATATTTCATTATTATCAAAGATTGCATTTACTTGTTATATACCACTGTGTTATATAATAAAATATATTATTTCATTGTTATTCTGTTATTATGATTATTATTCCATTCTTATTTATAATATATAAAATATAGTAAAATAGTAAATTATTACCATATAATAATATTAAAATAATACAGTAGTGTGTAACAATAAAAGGCAATTCAATCTAATAATAACAATAAATATAATAATAATAAAGCAATACAATATTTTAAAATATGGTAAAATTTATTAAAATAGTAAATTAATACCATATCATAATAAAATATACTATTAAATTTATGCAATAGTGTATAATAATATATTAATAAACTAATAGAATATATTAAAATATATTGTAAAATAATGAAGTGGAATATTAATATAATACCAAAGCCCTGCCCCGCCTCCTCTATGCCCTGCTCTCTACCTCTGTTGCAGATGGTGCAGAAGTTGGCGGGCCCCTCGCTGTGCTTCTTTAGGTGGTCAGCCAAGTAGGCTGCCCGCAGGAACTTCCCACACACCTGGCACGGAACCTTGTCCTCGTGGCACGCAAGATGTGAGCGCAGCCGGTCACGCGTGGCAAACGAGGCTTGGCATGTCTGCACCCAAAGCACAAGGATAGAGAGTTGCCATTATTATTATTATTATTTATTAATTACTATTAAATTATTACTATTGATATTATATTTTTCATTATTATCGTACATTATTTATTATTATATATAACTTATTATTATTTGATTATATTTATTATTAAATTTTATTAATATTATATATTATACATTACATTATGAGCAAGCACAACTAGCACATAATTCATTATTATTATTTATATTATTATTCTTTAATATGATTAATTCCTTTTTATTACTGTATGCATATATATATATAATTTTATTGTTAAAATTAATTTATTTTATTATTATTTCATTATTATTAATTAAATTATTATATAATTTCATTATTAGATCTTTTATAATATATTATTTTTATTATTGTTATAGTATTATTTCCTTATTATTTTATATTATATGTTCTTAGTATTTTATTATTACTATATTTTATTTATTTGTTTATTATTGCATTGTAATTATTATTTACTATTATATATGATTTTATTTTATATACAATATAGGTAAAGGTTTCTCTTTGACATGAAGTCTAGCTGAGTCTGACTCTGGGGTGTGGTGCTCATCTCCATTTCTAAGCCGAAGAGCCGGTGTTGTCCGTAGACGCCTCAAGGTTATGCAGCCATCATGACTGCATGGAGTGCCGTTACCTTCCCACAGAAGCCATACCTATTGATCTACTCACATTTGTATGTTTTCAAACTGCTAGGTTGGCAGAAAAGCTGGGCCTAACAACAGGAACTCACTCTGCTCCCCGGATCTGAATCGCCAACCTTTCGGTCAGCGAGTAGAGCAGCTAAGTGGTTTAAGCTGCTGGGCTGCTGCAGCCCTTTTTTATATACAATATAATATATATAATATATAAAAATAGCATTGTAATATAATATAATATATATATACACACACACATACAACTTATATAGTACAATATATTATATAATAATAGTATAATATACAGGTTATGTATTACATGTATTGTGGTATGATAATATTTATATTTTATTATTAATTTATTTCTTATTATTAGTTAATTTAATATTATTTATATATAAATATATATATTACATAAACATTATAGTTACATATTATTCATTTCATTGTATTGTTATTATATTTTCATTATTACAATAATAATAATAATAATTTATTTGTTTCAGAAAGCAAAGGAGGCCTGGCACGTCTGAGGACAACATTATTATTATTATTATTATTATTATTATTATTATTATTATATATTATTAAGGTAAAGGTTTCCGCTTGACATAAAGTTTAGTCGTATTCGACTCCATTTCTAAGCTGAAGAGCCAGCATTGTCCATTTGAATCGCCAACCTTTCGAATGTACCACCGGGAGCTCCATATTTGTTATTACTTTCATAATAATTATTATTACCTTTATTTTATTATATTGTATATTTATAATTTATTATAGAAAAATTAAGACATCCAGAAATACAGTAGGAAAATTTATTGCTTAAAATAAGAAATATTTTTCTCTTAAATGAGAAATATAAGTTATATTAAATAGAATAATCAATATATAAATACATAAATATGATATTTTTTCAATATTTCCATTTCTTTGGACAAAGCACTGAGCAAAATAGGTTAACAATCTGAAATAACTAAATATATCATTTTTTTAATATTAACATTTAAAATAAATAAAAAAATTAAAAATAATGTAAATAAATAATTTTTTTAAAAAAAGTAAAACACTTCAAATTTATAAAAAATATTTTTTAAAATTTAAGAAACAAAATCAAGAAATGACAAAACTGAAATAGTAAAATTTTAAAAAGACAATGAACTAACTGAAATATTTAAAAATATTTAAACTTAAATGTTTTTTAAAAATTAATAAAGTCAATGAAACAGTTCCCATTGGTCAAAAAGTAAAAAGTAATGTCTTTTTTAAAAAAAATAAAAAATAGTACAATGGGATTTTTAAAATGTTAAACAAAATTTTAATACCAAATAATAAAAAATAAATAGCAAAAAATAAATAATACCAAATAATAAAGACTTAATAACAATAATAATGATAATACGAAAGAATAAAAATGTAATACATATTAAATAATAATACCAATAATAAAAAAAAAAAACTAATTAACAGTAATACCAAATATTACTATAATAATAATAAAATAATAAAAGTAACAAATAATAAGTAATAAAAATAATATAATACCAAGTAATAATTATAATATAATACCAAATAATAAAATAATATCAAACAATAGTAATAGTAATAAAATAATAAATAATACAAAATAATAAAAATTAAATAATAATACCAAATAATAGAAAAAATTAATAATAAATAAAATATAGTAAATAATAAAAATTAAACAATTATAATAAATAAAAATTAAATAATACCAAATAAGAACAATAAATAATAGTAATAAATAAAATAAATAGTAAATAATAATAAAACAATAAAAATAAAAGGAATGTCCCCTGGACGGCCTTTGGGAGCTCTTACGCGGCGATGCATGTATCTCTCTACAAGAAAGGCAAGGCGGGAAGTTTGTTTTGCGAAATACCTCTTGGTGCCTCAATGGCTCTAGGGACGGAGGGGCAGACGCCGGGCCTATTCCTTGGAGGCTGTTCCCCATTTCCTGCTAATTTAACAGGCAGGAAGTAGAAACATTAGACACAGGAAAGGAGGGAGGGAAAGACCCGCCTCCAACAACAAGAAGAAAATTAGATCATATTATGTATTACATATTACTATTATCATTATATTATTGTTACTTTTATTTTATTATACATTAAAGAATGATTATAATTATTATATAGTATTATTTATTATATATTACATTACCATTTTATTAATATAAGATTCATATAAAATAAATAATATATACTTATTATTTATTACTATTTTTATTTTTATTATTCTATTATTACTTTTATTTTATTACAAATTGCAGAATGATTATTAGAATTATATATTGTTCATTACTAATACTGTTATACATTATAACTTATTTTATTATATTATACACTGAAGAATGATTATACTAATATATTATCATTATATTAATGTAAGAAAAGTTATATTTAATAACAATATATACTAGATATTAATAATAATTGTAATAATTATATTAATATAATGATATTATTTTTATAGTAATATATAATTAATAATGTATAACTATATAATTATTAATACTTATTATAGGGTAAAGGTTTTTCCCCTGACATTAAGTCCTGTCATGTCCTATATAATAATTATTATAAATTGCTATTATATTAATATAATATATTATTATATTATATTAATGCAATAATAATAGGTAAAGGTAAAGGTTTACCTTCGACATTAAGTCCAGTTGTGTCCTACTCTGTGGGTTGGTGCTCATCTCCATTTCTAAGCTGAAGAGCCAGTGTTGTCTGTAGACACCACCAAGGTCATGTTGCCGGCAGGACTGCATGGAGCGCTGTTACCTTCCTGCTGCAGCGGTATCTATTGATCTACTCACATGTTTTTGAACTGCTAGGTTGGCAGAAGCTCGGCCTAACAGCAGGAGCTCACCTCGCTCCCTGGATTTGAACTGCTGACCTTTTGGTCAACAAGTTCAGCAGTTCAGCAGTTCAACCTGCTGCACCACCAGAGCAATAATAGTAACATATAAGAAATAATATATAATAATAATTCTAATAATATTCTTCAATTTATAATATAAAAATAATTATATATCATAATAGTAATATATAATCAATATTATATAACAGTTATTCTAATAATCATTCTTCAATCATTCTTCCATTTATAATAAAAGCAATAATAAAATGATAAAATATAATATAATGATAATAGTAAGGTAAAGGTTTTCCCTCTGACATTAAGTCCAGTCGTGTCCGACTCTGGGATGTGGTGCTCATCTCCATTTCTAAGCCAAAGAGCCGGTGTTGTCTGTAGACACCTCCAAGTTCATGTGGCCGGCATGACTGCATGGAGCACCGTTACCTTTCCGCAGGAGCGGTACCTATTGATCTACTCACATTTGCATGTTTTCGAACTGCTAGGTTGGCAGAAGCTAGGGCTGACAGCGGGAGCCCCAGCTTATTATATTAAATATTGATCTACTCACATTTGCATGTTTTTGAACTGCTAGATGAGCAGAAGCTGGGGCTAACAGCGGGAGCTCATGCCACTCCCCAGATTCGGACCTGCGACCTTTTGATCAGCAAGTTCAGCAGCTCAGCAGTTTAACCCACTGCGTCACCGGAGGCTCCAATGATAATAGTAATATATAATAAATAATAATTATATATAAGAATAATTCTAATCATTCTTCAATCATTCTTCAATTTATAATAACATAAAAATGGTATATAATAGTAATATATAATACATTACATATTACTATTATATTATATATTATTATTTTATTAATACTTTTATTTCATTATATTATAGAAAAATTGAAGAATTATTATTAGGATAATTATAATATATTATTTATTATATATTACTATTATTATATTTTTTATTATCACATTATAGAAAAATTGAAGAATGATTATTATATATTACTATTTATATTACAGAAATATCCCATAGAATATTTATATATTATAATATATATTTATTATATATGTTATATATATTATTTTTTGCTCAGCGCTTTCTTCAAAGAGGAAACTCCAAAAGGAAGGAAGGAGGGAAGAGGTAAACAGGCAGATATAGATAGATAGATATCCAAGAATAAATGAATACATCCTACCTGACATTTGTGAGGCCGCTCCGAAGTGTGGACCTGCTTGATGTGTCCGTTCAAATGGTCTGGCCTTGGAATAAATACATAAATAAGAATTCTTATTATAGGTAAATAATAATAATAATAATAATTATATGGAAATCATTACTAGAAATATTTTATTAATAATATTTAATAATATTGTTTTATTATTATATAATATATTATATTTTAATTACTATATTATTGTTTATTATTCTATTGTTTTAATCATTTCACTTACATTTTTTAAAGTACAGCATTATTATTTTAAGTATTATTATTATTATTATTATTATTATTGTTGTTGTTGTTTTATGTAAATTATTATTACAAATATTTTAAAGTATATTTTCAATAAAATGGAAAATTAAATATGTGCGACTTGGTTGCCACATTGTCCTTCCTGCTTTGACCACATCTTTTAATAGTTTTCTAAGTGATAGTGAACTATTTTTAATATAGATTGGTTCTCTGCACTCTATGGGACATTAGGATAGCAATAAAATTGGAAGGTCTAAATGCACTACTTGTCCTTCCCGATTCTACCAGATATTTAAATATTTTCTTAAGGGCTATTGAATTCTTTTGAATATAGATTGCTTCTCTACACTCTATGGGATGTTGGTATATCAGTAAAATAAAAAATAAAAATTCGCGACTTGGCCGCTATTTTGTCCTAGCTTTTATCAGATCTTTTAATAGTTTTGTATAAAATAACTGACTATTTTAATGAGATATTGGTCCTATATCTTCTATGGGACATTGGTATATCCATAAAATCAGAAATCAAAAACTATTTTAAATATACCGTATATTCTAGCGTATAAGACTACTTTCTAACCCAGTGTTTCTCAACCTGGGGGTCGGGACCCCTCTGGGGGTTGCAAGGAGGTGTCAGAGTGGTCGCCAAAGACCATCAGAAAACACAGTATTTTCTGTTGGTCATGGGGGTTCTGTGTGGGAAGTTTGGTCCAATTCTATCGTTGGTGGGGTTCAGAATGCTATTTCATTGTGGGTGAACTATAAATCCCAGCAACTACAACTCCCAAATGTCAAGATCAATTTTCTCCAAACTCTACCAGTGTTCACATTTGGGCATATTGAGTATTTGAGCCAGATCCATCCTTGCTTGAGTCCACAGTGTTCTCTGGATGTAGGTGAACTACAACTCCAAAAACTCAAGGTCAATGTCCACCAGACCTTCCCAGTGTTTTCTCTTGGTCATGGGAATTCTGTGTGCCATGTTTGATTCAATTCCATCATTGATGGAGTTCAGAAGGCTCTTTGATTTTAGGTGAACTATAAATCCCAGCAACTCCAGCATTACCAAATGACAAAATCAATCACCCTCAACCCCACCAGTATTCAAATTTGGGGTGTATCGGGTATTTGTGCCAAATTTGGTCCAGTGACTTAAAATGCAACCTGCATATCAGATATTTACATTACAATTCATAACAGTAGCAAAATGACAGTTATGAAGTAGCAACGAAAATAACGTTATGGTTGGGGGTCACCATGGTTGAGGACCTGTACTAAGGGGTCACGGCATTAGGAAGGTTGAGAACCACTGTTCTAACCCAAGAAAATCTTCTCAAAAATCAGGGGTCGTCTTATATGTGTGGGTCGTCTTATACACGGGGGGGGGGGGGTCGTCTTATACGCTGAGGTAGCCTTATGCATGGGGGTCATCCTATATGCAGGAGTAACCTTATACGCCAGGAGTCGTCTTATAGAGTGGGTGCTGAAACTTCCAATCCAGATTGGAGAATCTGTGGTTGCTGCATATTGTGGGGGGAGCTCAAAAATGGCAGTGGCCGCGTCCCTGCCGTATGCAGCGACTGTATGAAAGCATTAAGGGCGACGCTGTACAAGTATGGTAGAAGAAAATCCATCCGTCATGGACTTCATGCAGTCTTGATGGTAAGGTGAAGGGGCGCCTCACCGGGAAGGTGGAAGTGAATTGCAGAGCAAGCTGCAGGCGTCCGGGGCACCCAGGCATGGAAAAAGATAGAGTGGCTCTGGGCCCAGGAAAAACACCTCTTTTACCTGTCTGGCCCGCCCTTGTATCCTATTACCATACCTCCTCCTCTGCCTCTCAGATCTCACTCCTGAAGACTGCAGTGAAGCGGTGCAGGTGCGCATGTGTGAGATCTGAGAGGCAGAGAAGGCAGAGAAGGAGGTACAGTCATAGTATGCCAGCTGCGCCCGTACCTTGGGAAGTCGGATCTGGCCACGGTGGTCCACGCTCTTGTTACATCCCGGATAGATTACTGCAACGCACTCTACGTGGGGTTGCCTTTGAAGACTGTTCGGAAACTTCAATTAGTCCAGTGGGAGGCAGCCAGACTGCTCACCGGAGCGTCATACAGGGAGCATACCACCCCCCTGTTATGTCAGCTCCACTGGCTGCCGATCCAGTTCCGAGCACAATTCAAAGTGCTGGTTTTGACCTACAAAACCCTACACGGTTCCGGCCCAGCGTATCTGTCCAAACGCATCTCCCTTTACATCCCACCTCGGAGTTTGAGATCCTCTGGGGAGGCCCTGCTCTCGGTCCTGCCTCTGTCACAAGTGAGATTGGTGGGGACGAGGAGCAGGACCTTCTCAGTGGTGGCTCCTCACCTATGGAATTCACTCCCCTCCTTTCCTTCAGAAAGAAATTAAAAACATGGATGTGAGACCAGGCGTTTGGGCAATCTGGCAGACGAATAAAGGACTGTGACGACGGATAGGAATGGACAATGTGGAACGAAATATGGACTCTGAGTTGGCGAACGCTGTGACTGAGATTGGTTATCGATTGTGAGATATATTGTTGTTTTAATTGTGGACCATTTAATTGCTGTTTTTATGTTATTGTATTTGTGTGGGCACCAAAATGTGTCTTTTTGTAAGCCGCCCTGAGTCCCCTCTCGGGGGTTGAGAAGGGCGGGGTAGAAGTCTACGAAATAAATAAATAAATAAATAGGAAAATTACCATATTGAAATCAAATCTGATGCTTTAAAATTTTTTATTTGGTGTGTGTTGGAAGAGGGGTAGTTTTATACGGCGAGTATATCCCAAACTCTATATTTTAACTGGAAAAGTTGGGGGTCGTCTTATATGCCCAGTCAGCTTATATTTCGGAATATACTAGTTCTCTACACTCTATGGGACGTTAGGATATCAAATCAGAAATTAAAAATTCACAACTTGACCGCCATGTTGTCCTTTCTGCTTCAACCAGATCTTTTAATATTTTCTTAAGGGATAATTGACTGGTTATAATGTATTCCTGTCATCTGGGCCTTATGAGACATTGGTCTATCTATAAAATTTGAATTTAACATTCGTGACTCGGCCACCAATTTATCCAACTCTAACCCGTATAACCCCTAACCCATTCCCACTTAATTTATTTTGGTTTTTTTATTTACATACATTAACAACACGGTTATATTGTTTTTCATTTTCACTCTCTAAAGCATATTTAATGAAAATCAACCAGTATGCATCAAAATCTGATCTGTTGGTTTCCCCCCTGAATACCCTCATTTCCATTGATAGTTTATCACTTAAGGTTATGTTCCATACCTACCCGTTCCCACTTTAATAGAGACGTTGGTTCTCTACACTCATGATCACTCTGCCATACAACTATGAGCTCCCCAAGTCCTGACAGAGAGCACACGGCCGATGGCCAAAAGGGAGGACAGGATGCTGGGGGGACACATGAACCAGCCATAAAGATCAATGGCCCTGATGGGGAAGAATGACATTGTAGCTAAGGCACTATAGAGACGGACAGTAGTGTGAGACTATTGTATTCCGAACAAGATAGATGTCAGTTTCCTTCCACCCTGTGCTTCTTGGCATATTCTTTCAAAAGAGTAATCCCATTGGAGCAAAGGACTCTTATGATTTGTTTGCAATCCCAGTGCTCTCTATAAGCTTCTGCCTACAATAAGATGGAGGGAGGGAGATGAGAGAGTGGACAACTCACCTGGAGAAGCCCTTCCCACAGCTCTGGCATATGTAGGGCTTGCCCACAGAGCCGTCGTGGGAGCGGACGTGGTAAGACATGCGGTCTTTCCTCTTGAAGCGCAGGCCACAGACAGGGCAGGAGTAGGGCTTCTCCCCGGAGTGGGAGAGCTTGTGCCGGTTGAGGTGGTAGACGTCCCGGAAGATCTTCCCGCAAATCTCACAGGCCACCTGCTTGCGGGTCCGGCTACGCTTCCGGGGAGGCTCACCCTCGGCCCCCAGAGGCAGCCCGTTCTCCCCCAGTCGGGGCAAGGCAGCAGGGGGCCCCGGTGGTGGGGGCAGGTCCAGGTAGCCAAGTTGCAGGCTGGTGACCCCATGCTGCGCCTCGTGCTGCCGCAGCCGGTTAGCATCAGTGAAGACCTTCCCACACAGGCCGCAAGGCAGGATACCAGCCTCACGCAGCCCTCCTGGGGCACTGAACATCACAGAGTCCAGCACGCTGGCCTTCCGCGGCCTTCCGCGACCCCGCTTTCCTGGTGACGAGGAGGAAGACGGGAAAACAGGCAGGACAGGCAGCTGGGCGGAGAGGGCGGCCCCGTCGTCGGTCATCCCGGCGATCCCATTCCCATTGCTCATGTCCAGGGGAAAGCCCAGCTCCAAGGCGGAGGTGGTGGCGGAAGACGCGGGCCGGAAAAGCATGAGGTCTGGGCGGGCAGCCGGCGGGACCAGAATCTGGACATTGGACTGCTTGATGACCTCCTGGCAGATGTCGATGACTGAGCGCATGAGCAGGAACTTGGCTGCGGTCATCAGCTCCGGGAAGCTCTCCAGCCTCACCACGATGCGCGAGGTGTAGGCAAAGTCCAGGATGTCACCAAAGACCTTGGAGCTGATGGTGTGCATCTCCAGCTCCCGGGGGGCTGTCTCCGAGGCGGCCGAGGCATTGGCCCCGCCCTCTCCCTCGGTGTTGACGTTGTTGTTGCCATGGCTCCCACCAAAGACGGACTCGAAATACTCGCTGCAGGCAGCCAGGACGGCCCGGTGGGCAGGGAAGCTCTCCTCACCCACACGCAGCAGCACGTCACAGAAGCGCCCCCCCGCCTTGCGTTGCTGGTTCAGGCCCTGCAGTAGATCGGCGCTGTGGCGGCTCACCTGGTAGGTGTAGCAGGAGGGTGGAGGGGGGGTGGCTCCCGCCGGAGGGGGAGGGGCCTCCATGGCCAGTAGGGGGAGGGGTCCCGGCACTATGAAAGAGAAAAGGGGGACACATTATCAAGGACAATGGCCAACTGGAATTCAAGGGAGGGCAGAAAGAGGAGACACATTGGAAAGCGTGGGAGTGATTGAAGAAAATGGGGGGCTGCGGCTGAAGGGAATGGGTGCTGCTATGGAACAGAAGGGGGGACACACACAGAGAAAAGGGCAGGCTGCAATTCAAGGGGACAACAGAGGGAAGTGGCAGCCACTAAAAACAAAATGGAGGACAACCTGGAAAAAAATCGGTAGGAGGAAAAGTGCAGAGAACTATCAAAGGAGAGGCAGCTAATGAAGAAAATGGCAGACCACAATGGGTCCCATGGCAGAGGGAGGGGAATTATTAGGAAGGAAGTGAAGGAGAAATATTATAATATTAGCCGTACCCGCCACATCATGAAACGACAGGAAAGCCTAGAGAAGACAGTGATGCTTGGGAAAATGGAAGGAAAAAGGAAGAGGGGCCAACCAAGGGCAAGATGGATGGACGGGATCCTTGAAGTGACTGGCTTGACTCTAAAGGAGCGGGGGGTGGTGACGGCCGACAGGGAGCTCTGGCGTGGGCTGGTCCATGAGGTCAAGAAGAGTCGGAAGAGACTGAACGAAGAAACAACAACAAGCAGCTGTACCCGTCACACACTGCTGTGGCCAACCTTCCCTCCCTCTTTCTCTCCTTCTTATATAATAATAGCAATAGTATAGAATACACTAATATGTAATACTATAGAAAAAATCATGAAATAATATACATAATAGTATGTAATATATACTATACTACAGTGGTGCAGTGGATTAAAGCACTGAGCTGCTGAACTTGTCGCAGGTTCAAATCCGGGGAGCGGTGTGAGCACCTGCTATCAGCCCCAACTTCTGCCAACCTAGCAATTTGAAAACATGCAAATGAAAGTAGATCCATAGGAACCGCTTCGGCGGGAAGGTAACAGCACTCCATGCAGTCATGCCGGCCACATAACCTAGGAGGTGTCTACGGACAACGCCAGCTCTTCGGCTTAGAAATGGAGATGAGCACCACACCCCAGTCAGACACAACTGGGCTTCATGTCAGGGGAAAACCTTACCTATGTAATATATAATAATATTACATACTAGATGTACCCGCCACACATTGTTGTAGCCAACCTTCCTTCTCTCTTTCTCTCCTTCCTTCTCTTCCTCTTCCCTTCCTTCCCTTTTCTTTCCCTTCCTCTTTTCCCCCTAATTTTTCTTGGACTACAACTCTCAGCAGTCTATCTATCTACCTATATATCTATCTCTATGTAATCTATCTGGAGGATTGCTGGGAGTTACAGTCCGGGAATAGGAAATTGGAAATCTGCAGGGATTGGGATGCTCTCAAAGAAATCCAAGGAGAAGCAAGCTTGCATCTTGGAAGCAGCGCATTTGGATCCCCCTCCTCTCCTAAAGGGCCTGGTCTAGGGAATGCTGGGAGCTGTAGTCCTGAAGAGAATGTGGATATGCTTTTGTGTGTTTTATTCGCCGGGGGTAGTCATTTTTGCACATGCGCTGTAGCGTCTTTTTGCTTTTTAAGTCCCTTCCGCTGTGCTTTTTAGTGTTTTCATGAGTGATGGTCGCTTATTGGTCTGATAGGGGTTTAGTGTCCAAATTTGGTGTCAATTCGTCCAGTGGTTTTTGAGTTAGGTTAATCCCACAAACTAACATTACATTTTATTTATAATAATAATAATTATTATTATTATTATTATTATTATTATTATTAACTTTATTTGTACCCCGCTAACATCTCCCGAAGGACTCGATGCGGCTTACAAAGGCCAAGGCCCTCAATAAAACAACAGCATAACAAATACATTATCTAACTCACAAGCAAACCAAAAAACATTAAAGCAGTAACAGTAAAACAACAAAACAATACACCGTGACACATTTAAAAACTAGGGCCGGACCAAATGTAATGGGTACAGTTAAAAGTGCTGGACATGACAGGTAAGATGGAAGGATTCTAGGGTAAGTGCAATGTGCAGGCAATCTTAAATCTCTAGTAAAGTGTGTTTGGGACATGATGCTGGGAGTTTCCTATTCTGGAAAGGCACACTGGAACAGCCAGGTCTTCAAGCTCCTCCTAAAGACTGCCAACGTTGGGGCTTGTCTGATGTCCTTGGGGAGAGAGTTCCAGAGTCGGGGGGCTACCACAGAGAAGGCCCTGTCCCTCGTCCCCACCAAGCGCGCTTGTGACGCAGGTGGGATCGCAAGCAGGGCCTCTCCAGATGAACGGAGGGAACGTGTGGGTTCGTATACAGAGATGCGGTCACGCAGGTAGGCAGGTCCCAAACCGTTTAGGGCTTTGTAGGTAAGCACCTGCACCTTGAATTGGGACCGGAAAATGAACGGCAGCCAATGGAGCTCCTTAAACAGGAGGGTTGACCTCTCTCTGTAAGGAGCACCAGTTAACATCCTGGCTGCCGCCCGCTGGACTAGCTGAAATTTCCGAGCCGTTTTCAAGGGCAGCCCCACGAGAGCATTACAGTAGTCCAATCTAGAGGTGACCAAGGCATGGACCACCCCGGCCAGATCAGCCTTTACGAGGTACGGTCGCAGTTGGCGCACGAGTCTCAATTGTGCAAAAGCCCTCCCGGTCACCGCCGACGCCTGAGCCTCAAGCGTAAGTGATGAATCCAAGAGGACTCCCAAACTGCGGACCTGTGACTTCAGGGGGAGTGTAACCCCGTCCAGCACAGGTTGCCACCCTATACCCCGATCAGGTTTACGATCGACCAGGAGGACCTCTGTCTTGTCGGGATTGATCTTCAGCTTGTTCCTCCTCATCCAGATAGACACAGCGGCCAGGCACTCGTCCAGCACCCGAGAGGCCTCCTTGGAGTTAGGTGGAAAGGAGTAGTAGAGTTGGGTGTCATCTGCATAGAGATGGCACCCAACTCCAAAACTCCGGATGATCTCTCCCAGCGGTTTCATGTAGATGTTGAAAAGTATGGGGGACAGAATGGAGCCATGTGGGACCCCACAGGTCAAAGGCCAGGGGTCCGAGCAGGCATCTCCCAGCTTCACCATCTGGGATCAGGGAAGGAAGTGAAGGAGGGATAAGGAAAGAAGTGGGAGGAAAAGGAGGGGAAGAATTATGAAAGGGGAGCACTAGTGAAGAATATGGCAGACCACAATGCAATGGGTTCCACAACAGAGGGAGTGGACATTAATGGATGGGCGGCCCCATAAGGGAAGTTCAACATTCACGACTTGGCCGCAACTAATAGAGGGGGGCTGCTCTGGAAGTTAATGGGGAATGTTATTGAGGAAAATGGGGGGGGGGGGAGTGATGGAAACGAATGGCAAATTATGATTCAATGGGTTCCACAAGGGAGGAAAGAGACAGTAATGGATGGGGGGGCGCTATGCAAGAAAACGGGGAATGTTACCGAAGAAAACGACTGAAGGGAATGGGGGGCCGTTACTGGAAAGAAATGGGGGATAACTAGTAAAAAGTGAGAAAAATGGCAGATTGCTATTAAAGGAGGGGGGGCACCATGGAAGGAGAGGAAGTTACTCAATAAAACATGGGAGGGATTCAGATAAATGGGGCGGGGGGCTGCTATTCATGGGGAATGACAGGAGGAAGAAGGCAGCTACCTAAGAAAGTATGGGAGTGATTGAAGAAAATGGGGGGGGGGGGGACACGTTATCAAGGAAAATGGCCAACTGGAATTCAAGGGAGGGCAGAAAGAGGAGACACATTGGAAAGCGTGGGAGTGATTGAAGAAAATGGGGGGCTGCGGCTGAAGGGAATGGGGGGCCGCTAAGGAAAATGGCTAGCTGAGATTCAAGGGGGGGGGGACACCATGGAAGGGGGGGCAACTACTCAAGAAAACAGGGGAGCGATTGAAGAAAATGAGGGTCTATGATTCAAGGGAGAATGACAGAAAGGGGGGGCACTACTGAATACCAAATGGAGGACAACCCATAAGAAAAGAGGGGGAACTATGAAAGGGGGGGCACTAGTGAAGAATGTGACAAGACGCCATGACAGAGGGAGGGGACACTGATAGTGGGGCACTATAGAAGAAAATGAGGAACATTACTGAGGGAAATGGGAGGCCGCTATGGAAGAAAAAGGGGGGGGGGGGCGCTATGGAAGAATATGGCCAACCACAATTCAGTGGGTCCCACGACAGAAGGAGGGGACAGTAATGGATGGGCGGCCGCTATGGAAGAAAACAAGGTATGTTACATGAAAACCAAATTATAATTACATCTATATAAATAAAAATGTAATGTTTGTTTGTGGGATTAACATAACTCATAAACCACTGGACGAAGTGACACCAAATTTGGACACTACACCCCTAACAGACCAACGAGTGACCATCACTCATCAACCCCCCACCCTCAAAAAGAGAGTGGAATACCCCAAAAAGCTACATGACAATACAGAAAAAAGGAAGGAAGTAAAGAGGGAGGGAAGGAAGGAGAGAAAGAAAGAAAGAAAGAAAGAAAGAAAGAAAGAAAGAAAGAAAGAAAGAAAGAGGGAAGGACAGAGGAAGGAAAGAAAGAGGTAGAGAATGAAGGAAGACGAGAAAGAAAGAAAAAAGGGAAGGAAGGAAAGAGAGAGGGAAAGAAGGAGGGAAGATTGGCCACAGCAACGTGTGGCTGGTACAGCTAGTACAATATAAAATACATGGTTAAAATCCTAAAAGGGGGGCACTATGGAAGAAAATGGGGAACATTATTGAAGGAAACGACTGAAAGAAATGGGGGACAGATATTGAAAAAAGGGGGGCCCCTACTGAAGGAAAGGGGGAATAGCTATTAATACATTATATTAAATTATTATTATTATTAATAATAAATAATATTACACAATAATAATTTTACCCACCTCTCCTCATGACTTGAAAGTGGGTTACAGAATAATTAAAACATATAAAATACAGAAGGGAAAAAAGAGGAATTAATTAAAATCTTATAAATATAATGATCCAAGAAAATAATGAGAAAAAATAATTAAAGGAAAAGGGCAATATAATTCAAGAAAATAATAAAATATAATCCAAGAAAATAATTATAATTATACAACATAATAAGGAAATAATAATCCAAGAAAATAATAAGGAACAAATAATAATTCAAGAGAATACAAAATAAGGAAAAAAATAATCAAAGAAAATAATAAGGAAAAATAATCAAAGAAAGTAATAAGGGAAAAATGGAAAAAAGTAAGGAAAATAAGTCAAGAATATAAGGAAAAAACAATCAAAGAAAATAACAAGGAAAAAATTGAAAATAATAAGAAAAAATCAAAGAAAATAATAAGAAAAAATAATCCAAGAAATAAGGAAAAATTGAAGAAAATAATGCAAAATATCAAAGACAATACTTAAGCAAAAAATAATATTGTAGCAAGTAATAAGGAAAAAATAATCCAAGAAATTAATAATAATCCAAGAAAATAAGGAAAAAATAATCAAAGAAAATGAGGGAAAAAATGAAGGAAAATCATTAAAAAATAAGGAAAAAATTGAAAATAACAATAAGGGAAAAAATCAAGAAAATAATAAGGAAATAATAATAATAATCAAAGAAAATAATAAGGAAAAATTGAAAATAATAAGGAAAAAATCAAAGAAAATAATAATAATAATAATCAAAGAAAATAATAAGGAAAAATTGAAAATAACAATAAGGGAAAAATCAAGAAAATAATAAGAAATAATAATAATCAAAGAAAAAAATAATGAAAAATTGAAAATAATAATCAGGGAAAAATCAAAGAAAATAATAATAATAATAATAATCAAAGAAAATAATAAGGAAAAAATGAAGAAAATTGACAAAAATAATCAGGAAAAATGGGATAAAATAATAAGGGGAAAAATCAAAGAAAATAATCAGGAAAAATAATCCAAGGAAATAATCAGGAAGAATTTTTTTAAAAAAAATGCCCAGTAGGGGGCAGTGTTTGCAAAAGCAAAGAGAGAAAGGGATTTCTCTCTCTATATATATAAAAAAGGAGGAATAATTTAGATTTTTTTTAAAGGAGGAGGAAAGGTTGCGCGCGCACTTCCATTTATATATATATTTATTTATTTATCTAGAAAGGAGAAGGAAAGAAGAAGGGAAGGAGGAAAAGAGAGAGAAGAGGAGGACAAAAGGAAGGAAAGAAAGAAGGGGGGGGGGGGCTTGGCTTCCATTGACTTTCCAGGCTGCAATGGGAGGGTACCGAAGGGAAGGGAAGGGGTGGGTGGGTTGTCCCTTGAAAGCAGAGAAATAATATCAAATAATGCATGAAAAATAAGAGGAATCATCCTGGATCACAGGAAAGGATCTGAGACTCGCCTGGATGAAGCTGGATGGTGGAGCAGATGGGTTGGTGTGGCGGTGGGTCCCCCTCCCGCGTTGTTTTCTAGGCTTTTAAAATGGCAGCCCATCCACTTCCTTTTGCACTTTCACCCCTGCAAAGAAAGAAAAGAAAAGGGGAGAAAAAGGAGAAAAGCATAACCCATCGGGATCAGGGCAATCCAAGCATGCCTCCAAACAATGCCCTCCAAGAAGGCAAACTGGGGGGGGAAGAGGCTCCACTTTCCTGGCTGCTCCTCCTGCTGCTGCTGCGCTTGCCGCTTTTCTCCAAGAGGGGGCTGCGGCTTGGCCCCCCCCTCCCCACTTCCTGCCCCCCTCCCTCCCTGCAAGAAAGGAATCAGCCAATGGGAAGGCAGGAAAGGAAGAGAAAGCGCCCCCCCTTTCTCCCCCCCCCTTTCTCTCTTCTCTTAAGCGAATGGGCCTCTCTCTCTCTCTTTTTTTGTGAATGGGCCATGCTTCTTCTTAAAAGGAGGGAGAAAAAGAAAAAGCAGGCAGATCGATTGATCTATCTGTTTATCTAAAGATCTATCTATTTATCTATTTTTCTCTTCGATGAAAAATAGTCTTGGAAAAGGCCAGGCAAATGGAGGCAGGCATCTATCTATCTATCTATCTATCTATCTATCTATCTATCTATCTATCTATCTATCTATCAGCCCTCTATGCATCCACCTCTCTATCTATCTATCTATCTATCTCCCTCTATCCATCCTTCTATGTATCCATCTCTCTTTCTCTCCTATCTACCTATCTATCTATCTCAATTTACCTTCCTCCATTTGCAAATATTACATTATTTATTATTTTCTGTATTATATATATATTGTGTTGTGTTATATATTATTATTTTCTTATTTTATTTTGTTGTTCATTCGTTCAGTCGTTCGACCTCCTGGGCCAGCCCACGCCAGAGCTCCCTGTCGGCCGTCTCCACCCCCAGCTCCTTCAAGATCAAGCCAGTCACTTCAAGGATGCCATCCATCCTTCTTGCCCTTGCTCGGCTAATAATATTATAACACACATATATGTTGTTGTTGTTCATTCATTCAGGTGTTCCCAACTCTTTGCGACCTCATGGACCAGCCCATACCAGAGTTCCCTGACAGCCGTCACCACCCCCAGCTACTTCAGCATCAAGCCAGTCACTTCAAGGATGCCATGCATCCATCTTGCCCTTGCTCGGCTAATAATATTATAACACACATCTATGTTGTTGTTCATTCGTTCAGTCGTGACCTCATGGGCCAGCCCACGCCAGAGCTCCCTGTCGGCCGTCACCACCCCCAGCTCCTTCAAGGTCAAGCCAGTCACTTCAAAGATGCCATCCATCCATCTTGCCCCTGGTCAACTAATAATATTATAACACACACATATATGTTGTTGTTGTTCATTCATTCAGTCGTTTCTGACGCTTCGCGACCTCATGGACCAGCCCACGCCAGAGCTCCCTGTCGGCCGTCACCACTCCCAGCTCCTTCAAGATCAAGCCGGTCACTTCAAGGATGCCATCCATCCATCTTGCCCCTGGTCGGGTAATAATATTATAATACACATATATGTTGATCTACACAGAGACACTCGCTGGAACACCTCAGCAAGCGAGAGTCCAAAAGTGGCAGGCTCAAACCCAGAACCTCAATCAATGGCTGATACCAAATGAGAGACTCCCCCCTGGGCACACAGAAGACTGGCTGACTTGGAAGGCACTGAACAGACTGCGCTCTGGCACCACGAGATGCAGAGCCAACCTTAAGAAATGGGGCCACAAAGTGGAATCTGCAACATGCGAGTGTGGAGAGGAGCAAACCACTGACCACCTGCTGCAATGCAACCTGAGCCCTGCTACATGCACAATGGAGGACCTTCTTGCAGCAACACCAGAGGCACTCCAAGTGGCCAGATGCTGGTCAAAGGACATTTAATCAACTACCAAGTTTGCAAACTTTGTGTTTTGTTTGTTTGTTAAAAATGCAATGCAACTGTTTGGTCTGCCCCGACACGATAAATAAATATGTTGTTGTTCATTCGTTCAGTCGTTTCCGACGCTTCGCGACCTCATGGACCAGCCCACGCCAGAGCTCCCTGTCGGCCATCACCACCCCAAGTTCCTTCAAGATCAAGCCAGTCACTTCAAGGATGCCATCCATCCATCTTGCCCCTGGTCGGCTAATAATATTATAACATATATATATGTTGTTGTTCATTCATTCAGTCGTTTCCGACTCTTCGCGACCTCATGGACCAGCCCATGCCAGACCTCCCTGTCGGCCATCACCACCCCCAGCTCCTTTAAGGTCAAGCCAGTCATATTATTTTATATAATATATATATTATTATATTTCTTTATTTAAAACATTTATACTCTGCCCTTCTCACCCCGAAGGGGACTCAGGGTGGAGCACAGCATATATATGTTGGGACACAAATTATTTTATACATACATAAACATTAAAAACATTTATCAAAATATTATAATGCACCATTTAAAACCGTCCTAGTCATCCACGTCAAATCGAATTGGCCTGGTAATCTTTCCTGTTGTTGTTCATTTGTTCAGTCGTTTCCGACTCTTCGTGACCTCATGGACCAGCTCCCTGTCAGCCATCACCACCCCCAGCTCCTTCAAGTTCAGTCCAAGTCACTTCAAGGATGTCATCCATCCATCCATCTTGCCCTTGGTCGGCCCCTCTTCCTTTTTCCTTCCATTTCCCCCCAGCATCATTGTCTTCTCTAAGCTTTCCTGTCTCCTCATGATGTGGCCAAAGTACTTCATCTTGGCCTCTACTGTCCTTCCTTCCAATGAGCAGTCCTGGAGGATGGACTGGTTGGATCTTCTCACAGTCCAAGGCACTCTCAGCACTTTCCTCCAGCACCACAGTTCAAAAGCATCTTTCTCCCTTCGCTCAGCCTTCCCTATGGTACAGCTCTCACATCCATAGGTGACTACGGGGAATACCATTGCTTTGACTATGCGGATCTTCGTTGTCAGTATGATGTCCCTACTCTTCACTATTTTATTGAGATTGGACATTGCTCTCCTCCCAAGAAGTAAGCGTCTCATGATTTCCTGGCTGCAGTCTGCGTCTGCAGTAATCTTTGCACCTAGAAATACAAAGTCTGTCACTGCCTCCATGTTTTCTCCCTCTATTTGCCAGTTATCAATCAGTCTGGTTGCCATAATCTTGGTTTTTTATGTTTAGCTGCAACCCATCTTTTGCGCTTTCTTCTTTTGCCTTGATTAGAAGGCTCCTCAGCTCCTCCTCGCTTTCGGCCATCAATGTGGTGTCATCTGCATATCTGAGGTTGTTAATGTTTCTTCCAGCAATTTTAACTCCAGCCTTGCATTTGTCAAGCCCCACACATCGCATGATGTGTTCTGCATACAAGTTGAATAGGTTGGGTGAGAGTATACAACCCTGCCGTACGCCTTTCCCAATCTTGAACCAGTCTGTTGTTCCATGGTCAGTTCTTAGTGTTGCTACTTGGTCCTTGTACAGATTCCTCAGGAGAGAGACAAGGTGGCTTGGGATGCCCATTCCACCAAGAACTTGCCACAATTTATTATGATCCACACAGTCAAAGGCTTTAGAATAGTCAATGAAACAGAAGTAGATGTTTTTCTGAAATTCCCTGCCTTTCTCCATTATCCAGTGGATATTGGCAATTTCGTCTCTCGTTCCTCTGCCTTTTCTACACCCAGCTTGAACATCTGGCAACTCTTGCTCCATGACTTGCTGGAGTCTTCCCTTCCAGGGTCTTGAGCATTTCCTTACTGGCATGAGAAATAAGGGCCACTGTACAAAAGTTTGAGCAGTCTTTAGCTTTTCCCTTTTTTGGTAGGGGGATTGGGCAAAAGGGAGACAAGTCAACTCAATGGGAAATAGCCTTGGATTTATTATTGTTATTTTTGTAGTGTCAGGAGCAACTTGAGAAACTGCAAATCACTTCGGGTGTGAGAGAATTGGCCGTCTGCAAGGACATTGCCCAGGGGATGCTCGGATGTTTTATCATCTTTGCGGGAGGCTTCTCTCATGTCCCCGCATGAAGAGCTGGAGCTGACAAAGGGAGCTCATCCTCACTCTCCCTGGATTCAAACCTGTGACCTGTTGGTCTTCAGTCCTGCTGGCACAAGGGTCTAACCCACTGCGCCACCAGGGGCTCCTTATAGCCTTGGATAAGGCAAAGCCAATGGAGTGGGGAGGCCAATTTATATAGAAAGATAGATCAGTAGAGAGAGAAAGGATATTATATTCCAGATAAGGTAAAGGTTTTGCCCTGACATTAAGTCGAGTCGTGTCCGACTCTGGGGTGTGGTGCTCATCTCCATTTCTAAGCCAAAGAGTCAGCGTTGTCCATAGACACCTCCAAGGTCATGTGGCCAGCATGACTGCATGGAGCTCCCTTACCTTCCGCCGGAGCGGTACCTATTCATCTACTCACATTTGCATGTTTTCAAACTGGTAGGTTGGCAGAAGCTGGGGCTGACAGCAGAAGCTCATGCTGCTCTCCAGATTTGAAGTTGCAACCTTTTGGTCAACAAGCTCAGCAGCTCAGCGCTTTAACTCACTGTGCCACCAGGGGGCTCCTCTCCCTCTCTCTCTCTCTATATAATTAGATTAGATTAGATTAGATTATACAGAAAATGGCATTGGGCAAAAGGGAGACAAATCGACTCAATGGGAAATAGCTTTGGATAAGGCAAAACCATTGGGGGGGGGGGGAGGCCAATTTATATAGGTAGATAGATAGATCTAGAGAGAAAGGATATTATATTCTATTACATGGGAAATACCCTTGAAGAAGGCCAGGCAAATCGAAGGAACAGGCTCTCTCTCTATACACATACATACTTATATACATACATGCACACACACATACATATATTTCTAAGCTACTCAGCAGCAGAGTAGCAAAGCATAAGGGCAGATGTCTTCACCGTGTCTGGTTGCGATCCCCAGGTTGGGGATTTATTTAGATAAATAGATATCTATACAGAGGATATTCCTACAAGTTTCTGGTCCCAATTCAAAGTGCAGGCTATCGCCTACAAAGCCCTATATGCTTCAGGTCCAACTTATCTTTGTGACCACATCTCCTATGAACCAGCATGGACCCTGAGATCTGCTGGGGAAGCCCTACTCTCAGTCCCA